TATTAATATTTGCAATATAACTTTCTAATCTGTCCATTCTTGTCCAATATTTCTATTGGTATCTGTCCTTTGAGAAATCTAAACCTTATGACTTTTTGAAAATAGATATACGTTCTTTTTTTAAGAATGTTGTTACTCACCAATCTAACTTTAAAAACCCTCTGGGTCAAATTTTGAAGAAATGCCCTCTTGGAAGGGTCGTTCCTATCCGAAGGCTTAAACCCCCTGGACGATTCAATAACCTCGGTGATGCTCTGAGATTTTTGAAGGCCGAAATGTTTCGCTGGCCAGTGGGTAGATGGCGTTGTCGGTAGAGAGGAAGGCACGTGTTTAGAACTCGAACTTTTGCTTATGCTGAAGGTCTTTTTGGTAACCGAATACGAAGAGTTTTCCGTTTTTGAATCTACTACTTTGTTTATCAACCTCATGGTTACCGAGATTTAAAACCCAACTAAAAAAATCCGTTAAGCTGTTGTTAGGCATTGGCAGACGAATTACTCATAAGTATAATTTAATATTCTAAATAAGGAAGGTATTTTTTTAACATTCCGTCATGGATTCTAGCAGGGTTATTGTCCTCATTGTCCACTACACTACAACTGATCGGGGGATTAAATCGAATCTTAGTTTTAAAATTAGGCGATTGTGTAATCGCTATTTACAACTTATTGTCACTTGCCAAGTTGAAAATTGCAAGCGTAATATCCATTGATCCGCTAGATATAGCGACCGCATTCATTAATATACAGGGTGTTTTTCGAAAGTGGGAACTACTTTCAAAATATTCTTTATACAATTTTTACTTTAAATAACGTTATGTTGTAGTTATTACATTCGAGATTACAGTAGGTAGTATTAAATTAGATATTATTACTTAAATTAAACACTTAAAATAATTTTATTTGTTACATAAAGAATACTCCTAAATAAATTTATTAAAATTACTTTACGAGAAAGCCGTTTTTTTTGCTATTACAGAATGGTGTGTTGATGTGTTTGTTACTGTAACCATTGATTTGTTTTTCGTAAATTATCTAAAAAAAATTATCGCGTTTATCGAAAAAATGTAAGAGAAAAAAATGTTTGTTTTTAGTTGTTACGTCTGAAAATGTAAATAAGATATGTATTTTCATACAGGGTGAAAAATTCTTTGGAGTAATATGTTGCATATAGTCGACAGCAGCGCCTCTGGTGGATATATTTAAACAATATTAATAGAAAAAATGTGTGTATTTAATAATAGACAATCATTTAACAAACGAATAAGATTGTGTATTAATGTAAACGGGGGTCATATTGAGAATTTAATGTAGCCACCTGAATGTAATTAAATTATTATTAAAAATAATCTTTAGTTTTTTACTTAAGTAACTACAAACTTTTATTTTATTGCATCCAATAGAAAAACAATAAATAAATCGAAAACGGTTAAATTTATCGACATAAAACAAGTATCCCTTATTTGTGAAAAATAGATAGGAGAACAATATTTTTCTATTAAAACTTTCGTACACACACTGATAAAAAAGTTATAACCAGTTTTTATCAACCAAGAGTACATTTCGTAGCGCCTTCTAGCGTTTACAGCAAAACTAAGTACGGATTCGTTTTTCTCGTCCCAGAAAACCCCCTCATCCAAATTTTCAAAAGAATCCTTTGAAAACTTACTAAGAATTTTAAGAATTTCGAATTCAAAATTTGAAATTTATCGCCCTGTAACTTTTTTATTAGCCACAAATGGACCAAGGTAAGTTTGGCTTAATCGCATTATTTTGATGTAAGGAATCTACCCTTGTTCTGTGTCTCATTAATTTCGGGACACCCTGTAGAAATTAGTAGATGTGCAAATTTAAATGTCATAGGACTGTTACTGGAATAGACAGTACATACTGTGAAACAAAAATATTATTAACTTAAGCCATAGTAAAGACGGGATATAAAAGAAATTCAAGTGGTATCACAAAACAGAACAGAAAGATATGCAAATAAGTGAAATTGAAACAATTTAAACTAAATACTAAATACTGAATAAATATGAAAGGATGAGGACATGGACTGTTTGTAAGTACGTTCTGTCAAAACGAGATTTAAATTTATTTGACATGAAAACGAGACGACGAATGACGCTTTTCTAGTGAGTTGAAACCAAAAAAACCACGGCAAAGTCGATCAAAAATCAAAGTCATGTTGACTGTTTTCTATGACTATCGTGGAGTTGTCCACATAGAATTCCCTCCGGATGGAGAAAGGAAAAACAGCCAACAAAGAATATTATCTGGTCGTTATAAGGAGTTTGAAGTTTGAGGAAGAGTATCGTGCTTAAAAGACTAGATTTATGTAAGGATTTTGCACCCCGATAATACACCATCGCACAAAACGATAATTGCGACTGAATGTTTGACCAAAAACTCAACAAATGTCATCGAGCTGCATTCACCGGGTATGACCTCTGATGACTTTTTCCTCTTTCCCAAACTTAAGTTACTACTTCGTGGAATATGTTTCGAGTCGATAAAAGCCATAAAACAAACATTGCTGAAGAAGTTGAAGTCTATATCGGCATATACGTTAAAAAATAGTCTTGACGACTGGGTTGTTCGTCGGAAAAAGTGTATTGCTTCGAACGGAGCCTATTTTTATGATTAATTGAATATAATTGTGTTTTATTGACAAATTTCGGATACTTTTTTGATAGAACTTTATTTTATTCATTTTTTTATTTTAAACATATCGACATTTTTATCTGAAAATTTTCTGTAAAGACAGAAATTTGTAAAAGACAGTATTCTTTTACCCTAAAAAAAAGTTACGTTCTTGGTTATATTCTACCTGTACTTTTTGCCCCAATACAATTCCTTGTTGATGCACCTTAAAAATGGTGAATAACTAAAAAGTACTTAGTTATTTTTTGATATCAGAATGAAACTAACCCTTTACAAATATTTTTAAAACGTGCTCGATATTCAGGTTAATGGGAGCGATGTATACAACTGACCCAAACAAGCCTGTATACAAATGACGTATGATATCAACCTACATAAAGCATAGCTACACCGCGTTAGTTATGGCGGTAAACATATGCTTTATTAATAGTCTGGTGACATCCCCAGAATCAAACACTACATCATGACGTTAGTAGCAATAAAAATAGACCGTAGACAACCACTGCGATCTTTATATTAAATAATAATGGATACAAACAATTATACAGATTTGCAATAAAATTCTTAGACTAATGCGTGTTTTGGTACGTAAAATTGAAGAAAATTACGAAGCCATATATTTTTGTAATACTACGTCTTTCCCGAAATTAGGTTAGTTCCTATCCTCCCTAGTTTTCCCTCAAAATGAGGATTTTACGGCTTGCCACATACATAAATATAGTTCGCTCTACATATCTCACTTATTTATAATTTCGATTTTTACTCCTTTCTGAATTCCTCTGCCAATGCGTATACAGCTTATTTGTACTCTTACATGAATCACAGAGTAGTAGTTTAGTCACAGTACGCACTACCGAAAGAACCAATATGCACTTGCACCACGCGCTGTACGTTATGGAAAAAATTTAATGTTGTTTGGGATCATAACTAACTTTGATAAGACTGGCGAATTGTACTGAAAATCTATAACAAAGTACAAGTCCAGAAATAAGTTGCTAGGGAGTTAGACAACGGATTTGGTTTATATCTGGACCATATCCAAATACATCGTAATGGGTTATCCGCGATAAACGTTATTGGGATTGCACCGGGCGTGAAACGGTTTGATATCAAGCCGCGCGTCTTTGATCACTGCGGACCAACCGGTCTCGTTATAGAATTTTAAGTAATTTATCAGATTGGCGGTAAACACAACTGTATTTGGTTTTTCTCTTCTTAATGCAAACTTTTATAACGTAAGATTTGGCTTAGTCGCATTTTTTTCGTAACATCGTCTTAATGTTTCAAGAGCCTGAAATAGATTTCGTGTTTTACCTTTGAGTTATTTTTATTTGCTTTCGGCAGAGCCACCTACAATGACATTTCGCTGGTTTTGGTGGCAACAATCAACTGTGATACATACCAGAAGTATATTCGTCTTGAAATGTACGAATGGGTACAGATTTAAAAATATGTTAAAAAAGTAGATCTTTTTTCTAATTTGTAATGAATAGACATCGGAAGCTTTGTGGCAACAATCAAATAAATAAACAATAGTCGTCTATATTATGCTAGTAGCGGTAATACGCGTTGTAGCAGCAGAAATAGGCCAAATCTGTGGTCGTGTGCCGCTCTATGCTCAAGATACACAATGCTGCTGACTGCCATAAAAACACGTGCCATACACTCGACCAAGCAATGCGCCAAACTCACTTACACACGCACAAACGACAATGACATGCACAGCCAACGTCCCCCAGCAAAAAACATGGGTTGTTAACCGGCACGCCAGGCCGACAGGGCAGGCATTAGGGTATCGAATAAATTGATCGATGCGACATGTGCATGTTATTGTACAATGACGTGAATAGTGGGATTACTAAAATAAAACATAAAAGAGCCAGTCCTGTACCACATTGCAGTTGACCTAACATTTCCGGTTTTTAGTAATGAAATATCCATTAATTGAATATCTCTACCACTGTTCGTTCAACTTATTATTGAAAACGTCCTTTACGATCGTGTCAAGTTCATACAGCTCAATGTCACTGTGAGCTATTGCTCCAAGTCGACGTAATTTTGAAACACATTTTTTATTTAAAAATAGCGCCAGATGCGTGCACAGCTGTGTTCTTGACACCCAACTCACATTTTTTTAACAGGAATCATTTTTAATAATCTCCATCGTCTTAAGTTTTGCCATAGATAGGGTGTTCCAATATTGCGCATACACGGGACTGTTACAGATTTTTGGGACGATATAATAATAATTTTTAATCATTGGCTACATCCAAAGTTGCTTCGTTTAGCCGTCAAATATATATTTTTTCAAAACAAAATTAACTGCATAATACTCACCTGAACACTTTGAATTCCACGAGTTTTGATGTCCTCCAAAACCTAAAAAATTGTAAGAAATCAATTTATAGAACATACCCATCTGATTTAGGTACTATTCCTTATACAGGGTGATTCTTATTACATTTTTTCTTAGTCAGAAAAATAAACAGGTGGGTTGTACCAAAACAATTCTGTATTTCTTGCAGGATAGTAATTAGTAGTTTTTAGGATACAATAATAATATAATTAAATCAAGACATATACGAGTATGGTGGTGCAACTTGATCAAACAAATCTTGTCCACGAGATCCGACCAAGAAGGGAGCCTGCAGTATGAGTGACGAAGATAGGAGACCTGAATAGTAGGACAAGATAAATTTGATCAAGCCGTAATTGGTGTACCTGCGAAAAGTTGAGTTGACTGAACGTGTCTGGTGGCAAAGAAAATGGACGTTGCTTTGATGTAGGTGATGACGATGGTACGGGCAGACATGAAGGCAAACGAGCTACCCAACTCTCGTTAGATCGCGATTGACTTTGCTGCAACAGTTACGTAAATACACACATCATATCGCCACAGAGTTGTTACATCAAGCAATGAAATGAGAAATTGTCAGTCACTCTTTGCCCAGTAACATGACACTTAGAAGCATTCTTTTCCAACACATGGAAGCGGCTTGGCATTATTATAATTATGCTTATGTTTACTACTTTCAATTTTGCTACTAACCTTACTACCTGCACCAAGACAATTGGCTTGATCCTCTGTCGCCTCCTTCAGTTCCTTGTCTTTCTCTGCGAACGTATCCAGATCAGATATGATCTCCTTCAAGGTATTCTTGATACTCTCCTCTTTAATCTTAGAAGATTGGGTGCCGTTGGTCAGCTTGACGTCTAGCGGTGGTTCGAGATCAAACGGTTTGAGAGGCGACAACGGCTTAACTGGTATATACCCTGCAGGCAGTCCTCCACCGCCATTTCCTGTGGGTTCTATTGATTCTTGAACCGAGGTAGACTCCGATGGTTGACTTAGAGGTTGTATATCAAACTTTAGTGGTGATAGTGGTTGGATTGGTTGGTACCCTGCAGGTAATCCCGAGATAGACGTTTGGTTTTGAGATTCAAGGGGTTTTGATGTTTCTTCTTTAGTAGTACTTATAGTAGATGATTGTTCTGGGTGTTGGGAAGACTCCAACTGTTTTGCCAGTTCGAATGATTTAGGTGGTTCGAATGGTTTCAGGGGTTCAAATGGTTTCAAGGGTTCGAATGGTTTGAGCGGTTCAAATGATTTGATTGGTTCGAGAGGTTGATATGCTGAGGGAATTGTGGAATTTGTTATTGTGGTGTCGGTGCTGCTAGTAGCCGGAGACGGTTCTGGATCCTGTTGAGCGGTTCAGGTATTAGTTTAACTGAATATTTCGAAAGCTTCAGTTATATATTAGTTCTACTTACATCGATTTTTGATAGTATCTTTGAAATAATTAATATATTCTTAGCTGAGAAGTTGTTTCTACTGTTAGAAGCAGTATGGTTATTTTTGGCATTTATGGCCAACTAAGTACAAGTTAAGTTTAAGGAGGGGTTACAGGTGTTACTAGAATATAAGGACGCATGCAATAGACATTAAACTTACTTGAGATGTTATTACGAAACCTTCTTTAATAGTGCTTTTAAATACAATGTTTACTGTGAACAATTAAGTAAAGTTGATTTTACTCCATATTTGTTCAATATGATGTTCCAAAAATTGTTTTTGTCATTTTGAATTCATATGTCTGACCAAACTAAATCAAATCATGCTATTATTTCAGAGATTGTGATAAAATAATAATTGTATGTGCATATATGACATTTATGCGAGACAATAAATCTATAATTTGCAAAAGGCACATAATTACAGCTACTTTTAGTACTTACTATTTTGTCTTAATCCTCTACTCATAAATATTACTCACAGAAGCCATACTACTGTTTTACTTGTGCTGTAAAGCCTGTATCACACTAGAAAAGTTTTTTGATTAATTTTTAAACCCAGATCAAAATATTATGTTGAATCACAGTTATTTCTTTAAATACCACTTTAACATACATATTTGGAAATTAAAACTTGCTCAAAATTGCAAATTTTAAACTTGTTATGATTTAATAAAAATTTTATTAGACACAGCCACACAAAAATAAAGTTGTCTATACTTTTCATGCGACATTGTTATCAGTAGTATTTTTGCCTCCTGATCACGAATCCGATGTCAGAATTGAGCTATCACATCACAGGGATTTCCTAACCTCAAAAAAACAGGTCAAAATAGCAAAAATTCACGAAAAAGTGCTAGGAAAAATACAATTTTTTTCTATATTCAAACGTTTATTTATATAGTTAAGACCTCCCAGAATGTGAATCCACAGTCAGAATTGATGGTTCTTTTTCTAACCTCAAAAAAAACTATCAGTTATCACGAATTTTCAAAAAATAACAGATTCGCGCCAAATTTGGTATGCGGAGGTTTTTGGGGTCGCTGATCACGAATTCAAGGTCAACTTTGCAAATTTCAAGATGGCGGATCCAAGATGGCTGACCAAATTTTCAAAAAATAATACATTCGCGCCAAATTTGGTATAAGGGAGTTTTCGGGGTCGCTGATCACAAATCCGAGATCAGATTTACAAAATTCGTTTTTTAAAATTTAATCAATTACGTATGTATTTAATTCGTGATCAGGAGGCAAAAATACTACGGATAACATATGTCGCATGAAAAGTACATACAAATTTTGTTTTGTGTGGCTGTGTTATTTTTATTTGCAATCTAGCAACATCATGTTTATTCATCATCTTTTGGTATGGCCTACTGTGATTATTTTAACTATTAACTATCCGTCTTTTTACTTATTCTATTAGCAATATCTGGCGACCCAGAACTGGGGTCATTACAAGAAAACGAAAAGAGCAAATAGGAAACCACAGTCGGGGATCTTCGTGACATGTATTATAAATATTCGACTTTAAATTTCACCTTGATAGATTTATCGCTCTAAGAGTGTGATGACAACGAAATTGAATGATTTTGCCTTGTTGTTCTCGGGCTAGTCTCTGCGGGGGTGAAGTTTTTGCAGGAACACCACTAGAGATGCGACAGTGGAAGCTACCAATTACAAAACTCGCTATGGAATGTTTCAGAGGACCATCATTATTTAAGGAGCGGTTCCGTCCGTAGCGGTCTTAGAACCAACACCAAGAACCAAAATGAACATAAAAGCGGGCCTAGGGGTTCCGATAGCAGGTCCGCCCCCACAGAGCCTAACCCGAGAACAATAAGAACAGGCCAAAGATTCTAAGGTAAGACTAAAAACGTGCAATGTAAGTTTCCACTCATTACTAACATCTCTTAAATATTTTTGTGCAAATTTACTACATTCTGTGTTTTTGGGGAAGCTAGGAATGACTAAAACATCGGAAGTATCTTATTTGTCACAGCATCAATGATAAAATCAGTGACAGACTTGATCGAACCTGTGGTAGGGAACACATATCACTTTGTATCTTTTGAACGAGAAGAGATATCGAGAAACTTTTTTGACACAAATTGTTGTGAAGAAAGAGGACTTTCACGTGAAACAATGTGAAAAATAATTTCGATGACGTAACAGCCCTTAAGGCGATAAACTTACCAAAACTTTAAGTCAAATACTTGTAACATCATGTATTTTTTTATTTGTTGTTTCCTTCTTGCTGTAATGGCGACTAACCACGAGTTCTGAGTCGGCTAAGTTAAGACACCCTGTGTGTTAAATTTAAATCACTGCTCTAATTCCTACAAATTGACCTGGGATGATTTTCAAACCGTTGAAAGGAAATAATTACATTTATGAATCAATCGTATAATTTTTTTTATATTGTGCCATTTTTGTGTGGTATTTTGTACGATACTATCCCAATTTTCTTCAGTTTTATATAATTTTCTTAAAGAATCAAAATAATTGAATTAAAGGAAGACGGTGTGTCAACAGGGAAAAGGAAGATTGTTAGAAAAAAATCAGTAGAAAACCATGAAGGGTGTGTTGTGCATTGCTGAAAGTTTTTCCAGTGTATTATCTGAGTTCTTATAGAAAAGACATCACTTTATGAAGTGGTTATAATGGGTGTTCCAAATTAAGCGTACACTACCAGAAATGTTGACGTTTTTAACTTTTTAATGACATAATAACACTTTTATGTGCACTAAATCGCGTACACTTAAATCGGAACACGCGTTTAGTGTGCAGTTTAAGTGTACTGTCGGTGTATATATAACTGAAGCTTCAAAACGTTAAGGGGGTGGGTGTGCATTGACAAAAGCTATATAGAACTGTGCCCTGTCGAGAGCTAACTCGGGATTAACATTTTGAAGCTCAGTTTTCTGAAATAAACGAGAGACAATCTTAAAACATATTTATTGAGAGAATAAAGTAATAGTACAATAAGTAAGGACAAAGAAAGCGAGTGGATAAACATTCCAAGAATCGATAGAGTACGGGTAACTTGCTGAAGCGTCAGTTCTATATAACTTTAGGCAAATCGTGCAAAAAATAAAACGGCGCCTACACTGTCTTTTCGTTTCTTATCACATTCTGCATTTTCACAGATTCCTTACTTAGTAAATGCCACAACATCCAAAAACCCTATCAAGAACTTAAGAAAGCCGCTAAGTGAAATACTTGGAGTAGGAAAAGTTACGTCATGAGAAATTATCCATAAAAGCTTTTGCACAAGGCTAGACCAAACAACAAATCTTTTACTTAACAACTCTTTAATTTTTCACTAATTCAATTCGACAAAAAATTTGGTCAAATGAGATATTCTTTTCCGGTGAACAAGTCGGACATGTCGCCATAATCCTGCAAGGGGACTTTGTTAATAAAATTCTCGTATGGATAATTTCTTATTAAAAAAAAAGTAAAGAGATACATTATGCTTCGACTTCGTACTCTTCTGTTTCTTCATAGGTTTGAGACGTTTCGTACGAGGAAGTCTTTACCTGTCGGTTGGCTGACACCTCCATCTTCTCGGATTGCGAGACGGTCCGGGAGGCTTCCGTCTGCTTCTGCCTGTTCTCTTCTACCAGAGAGGTGGTCTCGTTGCTCTCGAAGGACGCGGACTTTTCGGATATCTTCGTGTGGCCGAGATCCTTGTGCAACTGGAAACGAAAACGGAGAGTTTATAATTGTATTAGAAACATACGCGGGCTCAGGTCCTGACGTCGTGCAGGCCGTTTTGTTTCCCAAATTCAGAAAATTATCAATAGGACAGTAACCTAATTTCAATCCTATCATCCACTATTCTAGAAACATATTTTAATGCTTAACATATAACAAAAAAAAAGGGTAATGAAAAAAGATTTGTAGATATAAGATCTGTAATATGAATGAAACTTGGCGAGAAATCTTTCAAATAGACTCAGTCGATATTCGATTTTTCTTTAGTAACATCTAGAGTCCCTCAAGGCTCACATCTAGGGCCTTTGCTATTTAACTTATATGTTAATTACGTAACTGGATAAGTTTTATAAAAATTAAAAGTGCAGCTTTATTACTCCTTAAACATCAATTACTGATAGAGATGAAACAAATTTTTTTCTTTATATTTCTCACAATTTCGCGTTAAATCACTCATCAGATCGAAAAAAAAATTCAAAATTTTGAAAAAAAACTAAATTTTGAAAATATCAGTTCAAATATTTTTAAATTTTTTTTTGCGTTCCCATTTTTAGAATTTTACATTGAACCTTTCAAATTGAAAAATTAAAATGTTGAGAAAAAAATTATTTTTTGAAATTTAGTTTTGAATTTTTTTTTTTTAAATTGTGATTATTTTTACAGTATTTGATGAGTATTTAAAGCGAACTTGTGAGAAAATAACACAAAAAATTTGTTTCATCTTAATCATTAATTGATGTATAAGGACAATTCAATTAAAAAAAAATAAATTTTTCATAATTAAAAATTTTTTGCGTTCTTTTTTACAATTTTATATTGAAGATTTAAAATATTGAGGAAAAAAATATATTTTTTGAAATTAAAAAAAATGTGAATTTTTTTTTCAAAATTTGGATTATTTTTTCGGTAATTGATTTGAGTATTTAATGCGAAATTGTGAGAAAAATAACACAAAAAAATTTGTTTCTCTTAAATAATTAATATTTAAGGAGCAATTCAATTTAAAAAAAAATCAAATTTTCCATAATTTAAAAAAAAAATTTTTCGTTCCCTTTTCTATAAATTTACATTGAACATTTCAAATATTGAGGAAAAAAAATATTTTTTGAAATTTAAGTTTTGACAAATTTTTTTCAAAATTTTGAATATTTTTTTGGTATTTGACGAGTATTTAAACCGAAATTGTGAGAAAAATAACACAAAAAAATTTCTTTAGTCTTAATCATTAATTAATGTTTAGAGCAATTCAATTTAACAGAAAATCAAATTTTTCAAAATTAAAAAAATTTTTTTTGCGTCCTCATTTTTACAATTTTACATTAAACATTTCAAAAGTTGAAAAAAAATTCTTTTTGAAATTTAAAAAAGTTTTGAAATACATTTTTTTTCGACATTTGATGAGAAAAATGAAAAAATTTGTTTCATCTTAATCATTAATTGATGTTTAAGGAGCAATTCAATTTAAAAAAATATATAATTTTTCAAAATTTTTAAAAATTTTTTTGCGTTCTCTTTTTACAGTTATACTTCGAACATTTCAAATGTTGAGAAACAAAATTTTTTGGTATTTGACGAGTATTTAAAGCGAAATTGTGAGAAAAATAACACAAAAAAATAATTGATGTTTAAGGAGCAATTCTATAGAAAAAATCAAATTTTTAAAATATTTTAAAAATTTTTTTGCATACTTTTTTACAATTTTACATTGAACATTTCAAATGTTGAAAAAAAAATTTTTTTTTGAAATTTAAGTTTTGAAAATTTTTTTTTTCGGCATTTGATGAGTGCATAAAGCGAAATTGTGAGCAAAATAATAAAAATTTGTTTCATCTTAATCATTAATTGATGTTTAAGGAGAAATTCACTTTAAAAAAATTTACAATTTTTTAAAATTTTTTTGCGTTCTTTTTACAATTTTACATGGAACATTTCAAATGATGAGAAATTTTTTTTTTAAATTGCAACCTAAAAATCACTAAAATAATTTGGAAATTTTTCTGCCCCTTTAATATTGATTGCTCAGTTTATATTGATCAGACTGAAAAAGGCGGAAAAAATGTATAATATTCCTAACTCAATGTATTCATTAAAAAAATGGAAACTTATTTCTGCAGTTTTTTTTTTTTTCAAATTATTGTTCTTAAACTGTTTAGTGTACTTATTATTCTAAATTTCGTCTTTTTCATGTGCTCTTTGTTCATGTTTCATACATTCCATTCATTCCGATAATTTTTCAATATCACCTCCATGTATTTAAAAAATATACGCGTCTGGGTTTCTCCTAAATTTTGATGACCAAAGAAAGTGAGTAGTGGAAACTGTATTTTACTAGAAACCGTATAAATTGCTCTAATTGTTTTAAATTCAAAAATATCATGTTTTTGTTTATAAATAACTTAAAATTCCCAGTCAAATGAACAATTTGGAATGATTCCAATACGATTTTATATAGAGCTGATACCTTTATTGAAAAAGTACAGTTGAATCATGAAAATGCTTAGTTGACCGCCTACCTATCGTGCAATGTTGGTTGCCTAACTGATGAGGGATAAGTATCCCCGAAACCGCGTCTGCTAACTAAAATTTTCTCGTTTAGCAAAGCGTCGCAGGTGAATTTGCAGGCCCTGTATTCGACAGTTAATAATCGCCTGGAAATTGGGCAGACAACTTTCGCAATTATTCCGAGCGATATTATAAATGTCCGCAGCACTTGCTTTGGCAAATGCGGTAAGGGCCAATTAAAAGGTGCGTTAAAGTGTCAACCGGGTTATACATGTTGTCTTGTTTGTATATTCCGGATTTATGGAGTCGTTAAAGACGTTCCGCGTGAGATTTACAACTGCCAGATGGTCGCGGAAAGTCAAAAATTAGCAAGCGTTACCGGGAAAAGGGGCATGTATATTTTTGTTTGGTAATGTTTGTAATTTGAGCGATGTTTTGTTTACTACAAAGATAAATTTGAAAATAGTCTAAGAAACTCGCCTTATGAAACCAAACTACAGGAATATACCTAACGCATATAATGTGAAATAATTCATGTAAATATATGTGTCCTGTTATTCGCATCTACCTCATAAACTCCGTTCGGTTGTTCAGATGATTTTCGATATGAGCGTTGCGGTAAACAAGTAACATTATATGTTTGTTTCATTCAAGTAATATTGTTATTTGTGTAACACGATCTATATTTTCGTGGTGTTGTTACTTACTGTGTAACTATATGTATAATTTTTTCCAGAGAGAAAGACGCCAGAAAAACGTATTTCCAATATTACTGATTTTATAGAACTCGGTGGGTGGTTTTAGTCGCTGAAAGCCAATGACATGAGTTCAATGCCCAACCATTTTTCCATCTTACTTTCAATCGGGATACGAGTTAGTTAATTGAATCTAATACATAACTTCAAACACATAAAACATATCCAGAAAATCGTAAATCTTTTAGCAGTTTCATTATTTAGAATTTCGTATCCCGTAAATATTTTCAAAACCAACTCCCACACCAATAATTTCACAAGTACTTGTAAATGAACACTAGTTGTTCTTAGCCGCTCTCGTTATTGAAAGATAGGTGAAATGTCATTGATTTATATTGTTTAAACAAATAAGCAGATTGCTAAAATTAGTAAAAACTTTCTACCAACCTCTGAGAGCGTGGTCTCTTCTGTGAGTTCCGATTCGAATTCTGCGTCCTTGCTCAAAGCCAAGGCATTTTTGTCAGCTACCGCTACTTGCATGTCCGACATTTTGGTTGGAGTCCTTGTGGTTTCTCTGGAAACTAATTTAGCTTTCTCCTTCAGTTCCTTTTTATCCTTATCAAGATTTCTGTAAAATATCAGTGCACATAAGTAAATAACTGGAAATATACAGTCCTACTTCAAACGTGTACAAAGGCTCTACAGATATGTATACAGTTGATTTGAAAATGCCTGTATACAACAAATAACAACTGCACAAGGAGTAAGGGAACATACTAGAAAATTCAACTAGTTTATTAATTTTTCAATGGAGCAGTTCAGTTTTTACGTGAGACGCTGTATGTTGTTTCCATAAATATATTTATATCTCTCGAATTTCCAAAAACAATGTAAAGTTTCAAAAGGCATAGTTCATATTTTGTACTTGTCAGGCTGAAGAATATATTGCCTGTCAGAAGTAAATTGCTTCTGCCCACTGAAAGTTGGAGAACTTCCAGTTTTAATAATTTACTCGTAATATTTTTCTGAATTTGTATCGCCAGAATATCAACAGAAGATCCTATCAATATATTGTCAAGATAATACGATTTATCTCAGAGACAGAGTCTTCAATTCTTTAAATGAATATGCCTTAATTATAAATACAAAACAAATTCAAAACATTTTTATCTGTACTTTTCATGCGACATATGTTATCCGTAGTATTTTTGCCACCTGATCACGAATTCGGTGTGAATTAAGCTATCACATCACAGGAATTTCCTAACCTCAAAAAACAGGTCAAAAATAGTAAAAATTCAAGAAAAAGTGCTAGGAAAATCACAAATTTTTGGTAAGACCCAGACGATCGTGAATCCACGGTCAGAATTGATGGTTCTTTTTCTAACCTCAAAAAAAAAACGGGTCAATTAAGGTCAGATATCACAAATTTTCAAAAAATAACAGATTCTCGCCAAATTTGGTACACAGGGGTTTTTTGGGTCGCTGATCACGGATCAATTTTGCGCGAATGACCTTAATTGACCTGTTTTTTGAGGTTAGAAAACATTTATACCAAGTTTTTATTAGCTGTAACTGACCTATCTGCCTGTTTATCTGATTTGAAGACTAAATGCAAAATAATATCCACCACTTTCCTTCAAGTATTATGAGTTAAGCAGCATGTCACACAAAATATTATAGCAAGAGAAATGTATGGAAAAAAGAAATAAAAAGTCACGACTACAGTTCCGAAAACGCATTTTACGGGTACTAATGCTCTGCCCCTCGAAAATATTGATTAGAAATGTCTCTTTTTTTTAAGATTCTAAATTACTTCTGCGTGAGTTCTAAAAATAAAACGCAGCTCAAGTTTCAATAAAAAAAGTAAAACAATAGCTTCCAAGGTATGTACCGCACAGCTGCAGCAATACATATATAAAAATAAGAGACATAGAAATATCGTTGTATAACAAACGCATCCAAGATACCCGCCGGGTATTTTTAAAGTTATAAAACGGAGTAGGCTGCCAAACCGCAGCGGCACACAGCGTAAATGACAAACCGTTACGAACGTTTGGCTCTGTTTATCGGGAACGCGATAATTTTTGCTTGGGAGAGACAACATAGGGACAAGCAAATAGATGGCGCAAAAATTAGTTTTGAACATTATTACAAGAAGTTTAACTTAACAGTCCGGAAAAAACAAGTTACAAATCTATGAAACCAATCAGAAGTCACCGAAAATATCAAAATTTTAATTTTTTGACTATAAATTTGTTGTCCTTGTTTCTATTGTGACAATCATATTAGGTTTTTTTAGTTACGTGACAATTTAGTGTTCGTTTTTTGTATATTTATGAGGATTAATAGAAACGCCTCGATTACATAATAAAAAATACTTCCCAGTCTTGTCACCCGTATTTTTAACAGGTAAATCACTTGTGAATCGACTGTCAATCGCCGCCATCTCGATCATTGACACCGCGAAAATATTATGAATAAAAATAGCGAAAATACAACTCCCCTTAATCTATAAATAGATTTTTTCCAACGTCTCTAAAGAAAAATAAATGTCCAGCGTCTGTTGCTGCTCCATTGGCAGAGTTCCAAGCACTGGTTTCTAACGCGTAAATTTTACGAGATAAAACATCGCCGCCATCGGTTCGGCTTCTAACATCACACGTTTACCGATGGGATTCTTTAACGCAAGTCGAGAAAGTCATGTGCCATGAGACGTAAATGAATTTGAAAAGGATATTTTCATGCAAGAGAATTTCGATGTTTCTTTCAGATAAGCTAAGCTCTTTACATTTGCAAATAGATAAAAATACTAATAAAAGTGCCTGACATAAATAAGTTTGCGTCTGAGTCAGCTCCGCCCACTAATGCGCAGTAGACATAGCTCTAGGCAGGTCCCAAGTCACCGCGCCTGAGTCTTATTCTTTCTAGCCGATAGCGTTCTATCTTTTTATCGCGCAACTCTCCCTGAGCTGTCGCATGTCGGTCTGTACTTATCAAAAAACATGGCTTGGAAACGTGTACACGCAAAATATTTACACCGCGTTATTTTTACTTAAACTGTGGGAGATACAACGATTTTCAGTGAGTACTAAAGTCGCTGTAGCTTCCTGTTGTCAAAAGTTAAAAAGAATATGCTAAATGAGGGAAAGAAAGTTTCTCAACGTACCGTGATATTTCAAAACACTTCCCACGGAACAGAAACAGTCTACAACGATAAATATCAGCACACTAACGAAAACAGTACATAATTTTAATTTGATTCGGTACACACGATGGTAAATCTCGTATTTCTTGTATGTTTTTGCTCAAAACAACGTCAGATGTATTCTAAAAACAGTAACGACAAACACAACAGTACGATACTATTAAAACGACTACGAAAATGACATTGTTTTGCGTATAGGGCAACGAATTGACCATACCTTTTGAATCTGTCCCACATGAAGTAAATAAGGATAATAACGACCGAATATTTGACATGATGGCTGCAAAAAAGGAAAAGAAAATGTAATTAAAAGCGTAAACAATACATTTTTGTGGACAAATGACAAAATATTTTGAACATTTAAACTTGAATAGCCAATAGATGCCTGACACTAGACGTATGCAGGAAAATACAGATATATTTTAAATCTTCTGACAAATATGAGATACCAGTCATTACAATTATTATTAATTTTTAAAGTTCAAATTAGTAAAATAACGATCACACACTTTTATTATGTTTTTGCCTAAATAATTTCCTTTTCGCTCATATGGTACCCCCTAACACTTTCTCGGATTTCTTGGCAAGCAAAGTGATTACTAGACAACGGAAATAAATTAATTTTACGGATAATTAACCGATAAGTACAGGAAGTTGTGGAGCATGCGAAGCTTTACAGCCAATTAATATACTCCTGAAATGAAATCTCGTTTCCAGGAACCGTATGTTAACCATTAATTGCAAAATTTGTGAGATTTATGTCTTGCACGTGCGAAGCAATATCGGAGGCAATTAATAGTGTTAGTTTAAAGGTCGTAAAAGTAAAACAAATATTTTTCCAGAGCAGATTTTCGAGTTGATCAACAGAGAAGAGAAAAATAAGAATAAGAGATATTTCTACTAAAAGTACATTCTATAACGTTATGTTAATTTACAAGTATGACTTGTCGGTACAACCGTAGAAAATTTAAGTTGAAAAACGATTGTTGGTATTCTAGACAGACATTTTTCTCAATGCCTTCAACATTTTTACAGCTATTTTCTTCCGTCCAGAGGGATATTGGCACCTGTAGTCACTATTCTCTATAATCTATGGTTAACTGTGTTTTCTTTCTATCAACAATCAACTACAACAATCATATTCATCATATAATCGTAATCAATATTCACTTTTGATTGTCCATGTAGCTGATATCTATTTCCTCTGCCTTCTGAATTCCTCGCACCATCTTTGATTGATCTCCAGAGTGAATATGACTCTTGTACCTATCTACAATTTTCTTCCTGAGCTATACTGAAATCCATAACTACTTCCACAGATTTTGAAGTGACCAGATTAATTGCATTGTCCTTCTACCCGTTAGAATCCCTCTAACGTTTAAATAAAACAAAACACGGACTAAAATATTGCAACATTTTTTCAGTTGCGACGAACTGTAGAACATATGAATTGGTTATGATCAGAATGGAACACAAAACCAATAGATAGAAGAATAGACCCGCAATTGCCATTCGATTGCATTCAGTACACTTGGGGAGGCAATTACTTCGTCTACTTTCAGAACTCACCCCTCTACAGTTGTCGTCGGCAGATAGAGGAACCGAAAAAACAACTGCCAGACGTAATTGAACCATTGCTCGATCATCTCCCGTCACCTACAAAAACAACTGGGAAGAAGAAGAGTGAAAATCTGAGCTAGAGTGAAGAATACCACCTGACAAACATCTCTCACACAGTCCTTCAAAACCGGCCCTTTGCACATAACTCACTATTCCACTAACGTTTTCACTTTCCAGACATCGTGCTACCCCAACGGCTACCCACTACCTGACCGGTGAGTTACCTAATTGAAGATTTCGATAGGAAATGATGGGGAGAGACCCTGATCCAAATCCGGATCGTGCTTAGGAATCGAGCCAATTGTTGTGTTATGAAGGCAGCGATTGTGCATTGTGCAATTATGTGCAAGAAATTGGTGGATGTGCCAAGAGGCTGGCACAGGTTGGGGTCTCGAGTAATTAATGTTTTGATTTATTGGAAATACTACGTTTAGAAGATTCTATTCAACAAAAACAGGAAAAAACACATACAAACCTAACATTCTTTTTTTTTTTAATCAAACAAACAATTTTGCAGAACTTCAATTTTGATTTACGCCGCCACTTTTGTGTCAAAGACCTCTTACATGGACTTAATTTAGCTGAATTATATTAGTATCACTACGTAAAGCATATAGATGCACATTTAGAAATGTTTCTACTCTTATTCATCATTCAACCACTTAAGCAGCCAATGGGTACTAGATATATTAAATTAATCTAAAACAACAAAACAGTAACATAATTAAATCGAGAATAGTTTAAATTTAAGCAGAATCCGATCCTGTTCCGAATGCTTTCGAAGGGCAACGGAAATTAGCCCTCCACTGTTCAGATAAAATGCCATATTGCCGCTTCCGAACAGTCGCTACTGCTAGTTGTCTTCACACCTGGTATGATATAACGGGATGGTAAGCGGGTAGTTAGGTAAATAGTTAATATTAAATGAATCGTGCAAAAAGTATTAATTTTTTAGTATAGTCTCCGATTTCAATTGAAAAACCAAGAGGTTAGAAGTTTGTAACAGGCTAGGCATTGAAATATTTGAAAAACTTGTTCCCATATTTATTCAGCCATACCCATATACAGGTCTAGTCGCCCAATTGAAGAAGGAACCCGCGGTCAAATGCGGCACAAACACAGCCGCATTGGGCGACCTGGCCATAAATTCAGTTGTCGGCAAATGAACCAGCAGTGCAGTGCAGCAATGCGGAATTTGGTGTTATTCAGATAATTTTAATTTATTATAGGCACCTTCTATTAATCATATAATAGAAATTTTCTACACATTATATACAAATTATTATAACTTTTTACCTTTAGCAGAAAAATTTTTTAGGGACGCCTATTAAACTCATTAAATTTTATTACTAGGCGTTTTTATACATGTTCAATTGACTTCGGAAAGACTGTAGCACTAGATAATGTTTTAATGTTCCTCCATCTAAAAAATATAGAGACTTTGAAATAACATCGCACAAAGTCTTTATTTGCTTTTTGTTCCGCATTGTATATATTTTGACGTACTCCTTTATTTTTACTGAAGTCTCTAATGGCATTCATTTACTGTTTGAATTTACTTTCGCGAACTTATGGGGGTCATCATCACTTTTAGATTTTTGTTAACATATTCATTAAAAATGCCCTCTGAAATATATGAAGCTGCTAGCTGAGATTGAGAAAAATATTAGGGCGGATCGAATTTTCATTTTGGTTCCGTTCACCTTAATACTTGGCAGATCTTCTATGTTTACCTGGATGTCTCTTAAATTGATAGGTTAATATCGACCCACACTGTACCATTCACAAAACAGTTTACACAATCTACATAAACCGTTAAAAATTTATGTATTTTATTTTGAAACATAGAAGCTAAGCCAAATTCTGAAAATACGCATTTTTATTTTAATCACCTACGAGGATATGATCCCGGAAATCAAGACACTTGCGCGTAGGAAAGAAACTATGTTAGTGTTTTGTAAATCTCTAAGTCTTTGAAAGCTGTAACCTGTATTCAATACGAGAATATATTGAGGAAGTCTGGGCAGCCTATTAGTCAGAATTCAATACAGATCTTGACTGATTTTATGAGACAATTCTTCGTTCTTTCTCTTTATTCAAGACAGTATGCACATCATAATATAAGACAAATTCTATCATAATTTACTTTTAGTGGCTTTTAGACAGGTTTAAAAATTATAGAGCAGCAAAAAGTGGCAGTGTTAAAATTGATGCCCCGAGACATTTACCTCAATATTTTTAGGCAGAGCGATTTTCTTTGGCAGCTACAGAACACTCGTTGAAGGTTAGATTTGTACGTGCTGCAGGAAGTTGGAATTTCTTGGAGTAGTGCCACTTTCAGTACCCAGCAACAATATTTTTTAGGAATTTCAAGCGGTTTTACGCACAAAAACCGTAAAATTTCGTATCTTACAGCTGGAAAGTTTAAACTAGTTGATCAATTTAGAAAATCTCGTCAAAAAATTGTAAATGTAAATAAGTTGTTGATTCATCGCTTGTAAAACTCATGTTAGTATCATTATTTATTGAAATTTCGCTTTGGATATTTTCTTGTAGATCAATAACCCTGTATATTTGAATCCACTTGAATCGAACATATTTAAAAATTATCCATAAAATGTAAAGCAATTGTATGATTTCTAAGTATATGTTAGAAAACTACATATATTTTTAGCACGTTTTTTTTCCTGCAAACACGTGTTGTGAATTGTGGACTAATGCCAAATAGGTACAATATATTAAAAGCAATAAGTGCTCCTGGAATAACATATTCGAGATATAAAGGACTTATCATCACAGAAATTATTTTAAAAATGCACATGCAAATAAATTGTTCTAGAAATAACATTTTATAAATATCTATACAGGGACTTCTAAGAAGGAACAAACAAATAGTACAGATGCCAATGTACTGTATAACATAATTGGAATTCGTTCCTTTTTTAAATTTTAATTTAAAATGTTTACAACAGACACATATTATGTAGATTAAAAAATTTACTCCATGTTCCTAGCGTACTATAATCGGAAAATGGACCTTAATTTTTTCCCAAATTAGAACAAAATGTGTTTACTTCTTCTAAATGTATTTCAAACATAAAAAAACAAGATTATGGCCTTAATTAAAGTCATGTTTGTTTCCTTGGCAACACCGACAATTCTTGACCACTGTTGTGTTTATTAAACAAAGGTAGGGTCTAGTTGATGTAAATAAAATAAAATACATACGTTCCAGTAGCAGCAGCAGCCAAATTGTTGCTTTAATCTTAAAACTAACATAAACCACAAGCTGATGGTTTATTTTACCGTTGCATAAATTAAATTGTTTGTATTTGAATCTAACGATGATTTAATTGAATGTGCCTGGCTAGTATTTGTATTCACGACAAAAAATCAAAAGGTTAATAAAAAGAGAGCTTTTAAACAATATCACCTAATTATCTTATAGTGTGATTATTGTCCTATTGTCAGTAAAGTCACCCCATTTTCGATTGTATCAAATGTAATAAATAATGAAAAAAGTGATGTTCCCAAAAAGAACTCATTAACAATTTTCTATGTAGTTTTGATGATAGTATTTAATAAAATTATGTTTGATAATGAAAGTGGGAATTTTTCGTAAATTTTATTTAGAAATTATTAACTAAGTTTATGTAAAACAACAACCCTCATAATAATTTTATGAAAAATTTTATCTGATTATTTCTTATATACAGGGTGTAGGTATCTAAATAACACCGAAAAAATGCAATAGGCGATTCTGATGAAAATTAATGTTTGGTATAAAATAAAAAAAAAACTCTCCTGAAAAGTTATGCCCCTCCAAAAATTAAAAAAAATAGTTTTTTTATATCTTCCATGTATATCAAGCTAAAGAAACCAAACTTGGTGAACATCTGTTAAAAAACTACTTTTTAAAATTTTTTCAACCCTGAAGTATTTTTGTAAGGGGTTGAAATAATTAACCCCTATGACAATTTTTTTTCGATAACATTTTTTCCTTTTAAAAAATATGTCTAAAAAGCCCTATTCATTTACTAACTTTTTAAGGTCTTCATGTTTTTTCGAAAAGTTAAGGATATATGAGAAAAAAAAAATGTATTGCAATGCATTTTTAAAAAGATGAGCTGTTTAACGCGGGTGTATTTTGCCGAAAGATCTAGTGGCCTGTGCTTTGCAATGGAATCCTTAGAAACAAATGTCAATGTCATTTATTGTTACTGCTTCTTACTCTTCCACAAGTTTTTTGATTTTGTGCAGAAAATATTAGCTGAAAACCAAAAATATGGTTAACTTTTCAGTTTTTTCCAAAAATTTTATACCGAAGGTCCCTATTAATTTTCATCAGAGAATGTAACAAGTAAATTTGCATTAAACAAATAATTTTGAACTTTTATCACTTTTATAAATCAATTAAAATGTAAACTCATATGAAAACTCGTAATCTAATAAGTTAGTTAATTCTTGTGCGTACATTTTATTTACATTTATGTGGAAAAACCATGGTAAATGCGCAAAATTTACTAAATCGTAATAATAATATTTCTTACTAATATTTATGTAGTGTTTTGTTCTAAACTGAATAAAAATTTGTGATTTACATGTTTAAAGAAGTTGCAAATTCATATCTACAGCATTTTTTCGTAATCGAAATACAAATAAAAGCAATTCCACTCGATTTTAGAGCGCATTTCGTGCATTCACAGCTCGCGAGCATCTTTCTGCGCCGTCTAAAAATAACCCAATGAAATTCAAGACTCGGATTGTTTTTTCTATCCGCACTCCGTTATTTTTAGTACCCCGCTTTTATCTCTTAAACCTCTCCAACCCCATCGCAAAACGCAAGCCCCCCGCAAGAAACCCTATGCGAGCACCGTTTCTGTGTTAAATAAGCTCATCAGCAAGCGAAGGCGAGGAAGCTGTTAGCTACACTTTGGGGGGTTGCCCAAAGCTGCGAAGAGCAGTGCAAAAGTGGAATGAACTTACGTACAAACTGTCGCACTTTCGATCCGGGTTGCCAATGGTCCAGAGTTAATAGTTGAAAGGCCGGCGGATGACTAATTGTGCCTGAGCGTAGTCGCTGGTCGGCGTCGCGGCGCACGACGCCGACGCTTACCGCGCAGCCACGTCTTACTCAGTATTTTGATGTTTGCGTTTAGTATCCGAATCTGAACGCCTACTTGTTAAATAAATGACAATCATGTTTGATTTGGGTGGCACTCACGGGTGTTTG